TGTAAATTTTGCGTTTAGTTGTAATGTTTTTGGCATGGTGGCTTGCTTTAAAACCTTTTAGGCGCTGCCTTTGATTTTTTTTGACATGTCCGCACGTCCGCTGCATGTTCTTTTATATTCTTTTGGGTGTGTTTTTCTGGGGATACAGTGAAGGGGGGAAAACTATTTTATTTCAGTGCTGTAGTGCATGTAATTTTGCCTTGACAGTAGTTTCTGATCAACTGTGAATGTTTCAGAATCATGGAGTCATTTACTGATGTAATATACCCCAAGGGAGATCCTGATGCTGTTTCTATAAGTAAAAGAGACATTGAGCTATTAAAGCCAGATACATTTATTAATGACACAATTATTGACTTCTACATCAAGTGAGTACTTTTTATGTGTGAATATAAGAAAACTTTTTTTTCTTAAGATTTTGTTATATGTTTCTTATGCAAATTCATTTTTTTTCTTGCTAGTACCAATTTTAGTCTCATAAAGAGTTGTGAATGAATTTATGTAGGTTTATTTTTTTTATTGACAATGTTCAATGATAGCAAGCCTTTATCCCACTAAGTGGGGTCGACTACATGAATCTTTTTTCTCCATGTGTCCTATTGAGTGGCATATTTTCATTTAATTCTAATAAATTCAGATTATTTTTTTATACAATATGCCCTAGTCTTTTTAGCTTTACCTCTGCCTTTCTTAACATAAGTCAAATATAAAACATTTACTCTCCGAACCAAATCATCAGATGGTTGACGTTTAATGTTATTAAACCATCTAAAACAATTCTTTCTAATCTTGTCTGTCACTGGAGCTACAATAACCCTTTCACGGATATATTTGTTTCTTACTTTATCTCTAAGTGTCAAGCCACTCATCCAGCTAAGCATTCTCGTCTCAGCAATATTTAACTTTGTTTTATGCTTCTCTTTTAAAGACCAACATTCTACACGCGGTGAAGCATTATAGGTTACTCCACCATCTTATAAAATTTGTAAAGCATTATAGGTTACTCCACCATCTTATAAAATTTTCTTTCAGTCTAAGCGGTACTTTTCTATCCACATTCCTGCACTTCAACCAACCAACTTGAATTCTACTTTTCTACTTATAACATCCCTATCTATGTCACCATCACTTTGAACAATACACCCGAGATATCTAAAACGTTCATATCTTTTAATGATTTGATCACCCATAGTTGCAACTCTGCTATTATATCTACTACTACTAATAAAATTACATTCCATGCATTCAATATGTATTCACTTTTAGATCTACTCAAATGAAGGCCTTTAGACTCCAATTTAGACCTCCATAATCCATGTTTTTCCTAACCATTATTCCATGTTTTTCGTGAACTCTACACCAAGGTTCATCTTTCTGTAAAGTTCATTAAGAGCATCCATAACGAAAGCAAAAAGATATGGGCACCATTATTCCATGTTTTTCGTGAACTCTACACCATGGTTCATCTTTCTGTAAAGTTCATTAAGAGCATTCATAACGAAAGCAAAAAGATATGGGCTTAAAGTCGATTCTTGATGTAATCCGACTGAAATAGGAAAATATTTGGGCAATCCTCCTTCTGTCAAATCACCAAAATTTATTGTGAGAGCCAAATCATCATATATCTATATGAATAACCGAGGGAGGATGTTGAATTATAGAATATATGAATAAGTAGTTTTGATATTATTCTATTCTTTTGTGATAAAGAAAAAGGAAACGATGCATTTATTACTGCTAGTTGATTTGATTTGCGGATATGATAATTCGCCTTGGTATCTATGTGGAAAGTTAATTAAGCTATTCTAACATGTTTAAATGCAATTTCTTGTATTTTTCTATGAAAGGCTATTTTAGATAGGAATGCTGATCAAATTTTTTCACTTTTTAAGGCTTTTTAAATAAGATATAAGATACTACTGAAAAGTAAAATGCCTTATGAATGAAATTGATAAGCTATCAATCATAGATCATTTAGATATAGCAATTGTAGAACTATCAGTAACTAACCGCCGTTCACTTCATATTAGCAGGACATAGAGGGTGTTCAGCCATGGTCTTTGTCGAATTTGCATATTGAATTTTGTTCCAGTGTTGAGCAGTATGAGAGAGAATTTGATGGACTTTTTTTTTCTCTTGTTTTCTGGAGTTCTCAGAAAAGTTGGTGGTAGTTAGGTAGCTGCAGGCCTTATATTCCTTGAGAGGTGCTTTTATTTTGTAAAAAAGTAATGGGATGTATGTGTTTTAAGTAAATGCTTACGGGTTGTGTTATTGGATGCCATTTGTTTCTATGGAATAAAAGAAAAATAAATGCCTTGTTTTTAAGAAAACTGAGTGTGATAAATAAGAATATTGCGGAAATTTGAGAAGGGTGAGAGCTAAAGGATTTAAAGATAATCTCAAAGGAAACTGAAAGGAGGCAATGAGGGAAGGTAAAAGAAGATGAAAAATTAAATTTTTAGCCATAAGAAATTTATCCATCTCCTATGATACTTTGTAGATTATAGGAATTTAGATTTTGGAATTTATTTTTTTAAATACAGTGTAATCCATGTATTTTGAACTAATGTAGTTTGTTCCTATATGGCTGTTAGTTGGGAAAGGTTTGCCGTGCTATCTGTTTAATTTCAAGCTCAGTTTTGTTTGGATCCATATTAGCTGACTGAATGGTGAAACTTTGGCTATTATGCACAGGAATGGATTTGGTAACACATGTTGGTTATACCAAATACATCCAGAAAAACTTGCATTGATTTTTCATCAGTCTGCATAGTACTACATCTTGCATACATCCAGAAAAATTTGCATTGATTTTTCATCAGTCTGCATAGTACTACATAAGAAAACTGACATGGATTCATGTCTTGATAGCTTTTTGAGAGGGAACCTTCATATGAAGTCTGCTACTGGATTGATTTTAGTCCCTTCAAATCTGCATATTTCATTATTAGGTCCTCAGCTACAGTGGGACCATGAATATCACAGTCATTCAGTGCACCAATTCCAATGTTCTTCAATCTTGACTTTTCTTCCTCCATTTCATTGTGAAGTTTTAGTATTATGCTAATTTTTTTTTATTTTTGAAATAAAAAGCCAGTGATAAAGGAAAAAATAAATGGAAAGTGGCATTCATACATTCTTATCAAATAATCTAGGAAATCTCTTGAATACGCAGTAAGCTGATCAAAACCTTGAAGTAGAATGTTGAAGCTAAGAGAAAAGTTCTGTTTTTCAAAGTAGATGTAGAAATTCCCTGAGTTTCAAATGAGTTAAGCTAAAGTTCGAAAGCTTAATTGCATGCATGTTTGTCATAGGATTGTCGCGGTGTTGAATTTTGGCGTTCATACAGTCCCTTCAATGCATGAGGGCTGAAACTTGGCTAACATAATTCCCAAATCAAGGGAATCGATTTTGAGTTGCAAAAGGTGGCAAATAAGCATTGTACCTGAGTTCCTTTTGCTATAATCATATATTATGATAGAAGATGATGAAGAGCAAATGCAAAGCATAAAATATTTATAAACATTTTTTGCTTTTATTGACATAAAACAGTGAACAGAATATGACATGGAGTTCAAGACTTCATGTTTTGATGCTGCGTATAACATCCATGCTATAATGGCCGAATTATTAAATAATGAACTATTTCCACCTCATTATCTGTTGTAATTTGACAGAACAAAATGGAAAGCTACGAGTACACCCCTTTGGTCAATGGAATAAAAATCAAACCACAACCATAATGGGCCACAACAAATAATTAATTTATCAATAATTATCTAGAAGTTCATAGAAAGAGTTTTAACAAAATATTGTAAGCATAATAAAGAAAAAAAAAATAGAGAATATATATGAGCACTTAAATTTAACTTTAAACATCAAATTTCAAACATAGAATTAATCTCATAGAAAATAATCATTACAAACTGTTAAGTGTATTATTTTCCTTAATTAAGTTCAAGAAAATGTAATCATCATCTATCACAGTTCTACGTATAGTTATAAAATAATTGATGCCCTAATTAACCAAACAGCAATAGGAAAATAAATATTATTACTGAATTCCAATAGGCACTTACACTAAGACACTAGAAATCAGAAAGTACAACAAATGACAACACAAACTTGTCTAGAGTTGGACCTGCGACAGTGATGGTGATTGGCGAGGGTTTGGAGGAGGGAAGGGTGATGAACGAGGTGATTGGCAAGCAACAAACCGAGAGGCAGTGGCTTCTGATGGTCCGACTTCCGATGGTCTGAGCTGCAAGCAAATAGCGGGAATTGATGCGCGAGGGCTGGCCTGAGTGACGACTACAGGAATGTGACCAGTCAGGGGCATCTAGTTTGGGGTGCTAGCCGGAAGTTAGAATGGGATTGTGGAGGTTTCAGATGATGGCAGAAAGTGGAAAGGGGGTAGGGTGCAGATTTTGGAAATGGAAGCAAGTTGGAAGGGGTCGGGCGCAGGTTTTGGAGGTGGCTGTGTGTTGGAAGGGGATGTGTGGTGGCTGGGAAGGTCGGAAAAGGCAAGGACAACAAGTTGCTGTCCTAGATGGTAGCATCAAGTAGAACAACTACTGGTGGCGGCTGGAAGATAGAATACTGCATAAAGAAACATCCATAATAGTTGTTTCGGGCAGTTGCAACAGGGAAGGGGCGGCTGTGAGCGATGTAAGAAGGATTTGGAAGGGGATAACGAAGATAATTGCCACCTTGAGACCAAGATACAACTGAAGCGCCGCCTAGAATCCTTGGATACAACTCTCGAAGGAAATAAGAGACGCCGGTGGCTGTCCCAATACAAAACACACAAAAAAAAACTAATTCTAGACTCCTAAGAAAGCAAATATCTAATAATAGAATAACTAGGAGTAGTCCACGAGAACTGGTCGGCTCCTCAACAAGGAGAAAACTTGGACCCATTCAGTTGAGCAACAACAGTCGGTCGCTACTTTGTTCATGCGACTCCCGCGTAGGGAGCAGGGGGTGAACCAAACCCATCATCCCTCTCATTCTGATTGACAGTATTCTTCATAACATTTCTTATGCTCTCACGCTTAGAATCCATTAACTATACAAAAACAAATAAGTTCAAAGTAAATTAGGAACATCTGAATACTTCATATGAAAAAAATGAACTTAATAATAATAAATAATTTAAACATATGCTTCATGCATTGATCCCCATATGATAAATCTTTGATACACATGAATGCCTCAATAATGTTGTATGTTAGCGCACTTCAATATTGTTTTAGAATTCTTTCACTATCATAAATTGCATTTTTTGGAACAATAATCAAAATTAGTCTGCAGAAAATGTCACAAACCATTATAGACATTCACGAAACCTGTATTGATTGCCTCTCCA